GTATGTATGTATGTATGTATGTATGTATGTATGTATGTATGTATGTATGTATGTATGTATGTATGTATGTATGTATGTATGTATGTATGTATGTATGTATGTATGTATGTATGTATGTATGTATGTATGTATGTATGTATGTATGTATGTATGTATGTATGTATTAATGTAATGTAATGTAATGTAATGTAATGTCATGTAATGTAATGCAATGCAATGTAATGTAATGTAATGTAATGCAATGTATGTATGTATGTATGTATGCATGTATGTATGTATGTATGTATGTATGTATGTGTGTATTAGCTTCTTCGAACATCATAGGGGAAGCTCCCCCCACCAACCCCCCCTCGCCGCGCTGCTTTTTATATGCTGCCGCACCTCTTCTTGAATCATGTTTGCGAGCATCATGGGGGGGGGGCTGCCGCCCCCCCCGCCCCCCGACCCCCCCGCTACCTTTCAGATTTTTTTACATAGATTTAATTGCACCCCTATTTGAATCATCACTTCTTCGAACATCATGGGGGGGCGGCCCCCAACCCCCCGCAAGTTTCTAGATTTTCTACAGAGATCTAATTGCGCCCCGATTTGAATCATCACTTCTTCGAATTTTTCCCCAGATAGCTGAAAGCCATAAAGAGTCAAGAGGGGACAGTGATTTGCAAGATTGGCGGCAGGGTGCTAGCGCATGCAGTTTGGGTGCTAGTGCCGGTGCTGCTTTGAGGTGCTGTTTGGGCTGTTGCTTAGGTGCTGGGCATTTTTTGCGAGCGCACTTTGGCGATTGATGGGCTGGGGGCAGTTTGGGGTGCCGGTGCGGGTGGTTTTCGGGCGGCTGGCACGTTAGGGGGCATGCAGTTTGGGGTGCTGGTGCGGGTGCTGTTTTCGGGTGCTGGCGTTTTTGCCAGATTGATGGCAGGGTGCTTGGGGTTCATCATGTGGTGCTGGTGCAGGTGCTGTTTATGGACGCTGTTTGGGGTGGTGTTGGAGGAGTGCGGGCGAGATTGACGGCTGTGCTCTTGGGGGGTGCTATTTGCTGGGGGTGCTGTTAGAGGTGCTGGTGCGCAATATCCGTTTTTTGTCTACTATCTGGGGTCTATGCGGGTGCAGTTGCTATAGATTTGCGTAATTGAACATTATGGGGGGGGGCTCCCCCAAACCCCCCCCGCTACTTCTAGGTTTTCTACAGGGATTGAATTGCACCCCTATTTTTTACCCACGATTTGTTGGTGATGCTGGGGATGTTGGTGGGACATGTGGGGGATGTTGAAAACGATGCTGGGGATGTTGGCGGGCCAGTGTAAATTACGTCAATTTCGCAAGAAACGCAAAAAAATCCTGCCCCCCCCCAAAAAAAAGAGAGAAAATACTGACACCCACAATAAATCTGCACCCACAACTTCGTTGCACAAATGGTTCGTGCATGGAAGCCAGTGGCCACGGATTAAGAACATTTACTGGTGATGATCGGAACATGGGACGGGTATGGGGCCGTATCCGCAAAATCCAGAAACTAAGTTGATAGTGTGTGCTGTGCCACTGGTTTTGTCCCGCCGTGCGCGCTGAATTTCCCCAGTTCTTTGGTTGCAAGTGAGGCTGAGATTAAGAGGTATTGCGTTTGGTCAGCTGCCATTGTGCGAGTGGTCGCCGATACTCATCATGGGCCGCCGGGTCTCCGCTGCGAGCATGAAGGCTGTGGATGGGATGAGCTGTCTATCATGCCGCGGAGCAAGCAATATTCATGCGGAGAATGGACCAAAAGGACCTGGAAATCTACTGACGCCTCCTCCTGTTTCCATTTGCCAATCAACGCATCCAAAGTCGGAACACAACGAGCAAGTAGTTGTGGTCGCTTTGGTCAAGATGTGTGGCGCAACGGCGTGGCGGCCACCGGGGCCGGCGGCCGGCGGCCTCTAACTGCCGACAAGCTGTGCCAGATCATTCGCTGTGCCGTAGGAGATGTGCTCTAGACTCTGGACCGAAACAGAACGCGATCACTCCCTCAGTTGTTGGGCCTGCCTTTTGGGGCTGGCATGCACCAGTGCTCACGTTGATGCGATGAGGCGGGCAATGCGGGGGGGCTGGCTCCTCCGGCCTCAAAATGGCAACGCAGGGCCGTGGAAGAGGGCAGGCCTCATGCGTTGCTGCCTCATTAGATTCGCGCCCTCAGGCCCGCGTGGGCAATCTGTACGGCGCTACGCCAAAACAAGGGTTTGCTACGGATCAAGCCAAAGCTGTGCAAGGCCTGCGGCAGTACAAGGCCATATCACGGAAAGCATCTAGGATTATGACACGAGACGATCAACAATCCTGGGCACGCTGCTAAAACTGTTGGTCGGTTGGTTTGCCAAGTTTGCTTAGCAGGCATCCGACGAACAAGGCTGGGCGCGAACGAGAAAATCACAAATGATCAGATCAGCTATTAGAGCGAGAAACAAGAATATTCAAACAACACGCCATAAGGTGAAAAGGCCAGCTTTGAGCAACCGAGCAGCTTCCACTCCTCGAACAAAATCCTCCGGGGCATCGCACTTATTGAGAACAATGATCACCGGGATGCCATTCTTGTGAAGGAGCGAACAAACCTTCTGCATGTGCCCGGGGTTGAACCTACCACCGCTGATAACATCAACGACCCACCAAACCAGGTGCAGGAGCTCTGAAACCCTTGCAGGGTCTTCGACGTTGTGCCTCTCGCTGGCACGTCTTCGCTCTTCAACCAGCTTCTTCAGTTGCTCAAGCTGATCTCCGTCAGTCTCGAAGCCCTTGGTGTCGTAGAGATTCACGGGACAGGACTCAGTTGCCGGGTACAAAGTGATCAGCTGAGTGACCGATCGGCCTACGCCCGTCTGCGCAAGCTGCCGTCCAAACGCAGCGTTGCATAGGCTAGACTTGCCCGTGCCTCGATCTCCCAAAACGACAATGCGCGCACCTCGTTCTGCAAGCTGCTGCGCAGTCTCGTAAAGCTCGTGCCTCAACAAGCCGTGTGTGGTTTCACTGTGGTCTCTATCCAGAAAGGATGTCTTCTTGCTATGCCTTTCCTCAACCAGAATGCCTTCCTTGGACAGCTTAAACCTGCATTCTTGCGAGACAGCGTGCTGCAAGCCCCAAAGCTCAAACATCTCCTTCCAACTCGGAACCTGCAAAATTGCCTTCAGAGCTTTGCCCGCCGCGTTGAATCCCAAAACCTCATGGCTCTGCTCTGCCAAGAACCTCAGCACCAAATTGGCGCTTGTCACGTCCCGGTCCAAAACGTCTCGCAGCTCTCCTGCTGCGGCCAACGACTCCACGAGGCGGTGAAGGCTGCTGAGCACATGCGCAACCTCTGCATCGTCGATGCTCAGCGCCTCCTTTGTTCGCTGTGGGCGGCTTCGCCGGAGATTTCAATCAACGGCCGTGGCTTGGAGCGTCTAAATGATCAGCAACTTCTGGGGATCCACTCACACGAGCCAATAACAGAAGGACTATGTTTAAAAAAGATGAAATGCACAAGTGTCACTGGATTCAGCGGAACGTTCCAATGAAACAAGCTGCCACTTCAGGTGCCAATTGCTGGAAACTGATGCACCTCTGCTCTTGGTCAATGTTTAACCCTGAACATAGAAAACATCATGGGATGTTGACATGGGGCTGGTTGATTGATGGAGGTCTCCCATTTAAGAGGGGGTCCTTCCCTTTTACGGCAACACAGAGAGCCAAACACGCAGGGGCAGCCATGAATCCGCCCGAAATCCGGGGACACCAATAAAGGAAAAGATGTCAGATGTGTGGCAGAGAAGTTTGTATTTTCAGGGTATATCTCAACAATCCTCAAACTCTCATACGTTGCATTACAATACATTAAGTTACATGAAATCATACATGGCATTGCATTGCATTACATTACATTACATCATTACATCGCATTACATTGCATTATATTGCATTGCATTACATTACCGGGGTACAGCAGAAATTGTGACCTCTCCTGGCTTCGCCCCGTGCACTTGGCGTTCTCAAGGTTCACCAGCTGGGCGATGCAGCCCCGCCACTCCGCCAGCTTCTCGGCCATGCTGCACGGGGGTCGGGGCGGGGGAGAGACGCTGAGCCGAAGATCCGGTTGCAAGTTACGACTCCTGAAGCGGTTGCCAACGTTCCGCTGAAGAAACAAAGCGGCAAAAGGCAGCATTCAGAGATCAGTGAGCTCGGTTGACCCATGTTGACCCCCAGTTCGGTGAGCTCGTTGTAATATGTGCAGGCAGATCCTGAGCCACCGTGAAACCTGTAGATAAAGGATAAGGGACAGCCCCAGCTGGGAATTGGTGAGGTATGCGCGCGCGTGTGGTGGGAGTGAGGAATCTGCAAAAAGCAAGGCCCTGTGCGTGAGTCGGAGTCTCCGGAGAGTGGAAAGCTAGCTGGTTCGCGGCGCCTGGTCGGACCACTCTCGGAGCGTGTTCGGGCAGTCTCGGACCATGCTCGGAGCGCGGGCCCAGTGGCACGGCAACGCGGAGGTTTCGCAAGGATTGAATTGCGTGGCAGCCGCAGCACTTTCGCAAGGTGAGGTGCAGATTTTGTGGCAGGCGCAGCACTTTCGCAAGGTCAATTTTTCTCAAGGTTTGAATTGCGTGGCAGGCGCAGCACTTTCGAAAGGTCAGGTGCAGATTGCGTGGCAGGCGCAGCACTTTCGAAAGGTCAGGTGCAGATTGCGTGGCAGGCGCAGCACTTTCGCCAGGTCAAGTACAGATTTCGTGGCAGTCGCAGCACTTTCGCAAGGTCAAGTAAAGATTTCGTGGCAGGCGCAGCATTCTCGCCAGGTGCAGAATTCGTGGCAGGTGCAGCACTTTCGCAAGGTCAAGTGCAGAATGCGTGGCAGGCGCAGCATTTTGGCAAGGTCGGGCGCAGATTTCGTGGCAGGCGCAGCACTTTCGCGAGGTCAAGTGCAGAATTCGTGGCAGGCGCAGCACTTTCGCAAGGTCAAGCAAAGATTTTGTGGCACGCGCAGCACTTTCGCAAGGTCAACTTTCTGCAGCCGGGGCAACTCAAGTACAAAAGTAGTACGCGAAGTCAACTTTCGCAGCTGGGGCTGCAAAATCGCAACTTTTAAGTACGAAAGTAGTACGCGAAGTCCACTTTCGCAGCTGGGGCTCGAAAATCTATAGGCAGATAGATCGATAGAAAAAGAGATAGAGAGAGAGATAAATAGATAGATAGAGAGAGAGAGATAGATAGATAGATAGAGAGAGAGAGCGAGATAGATAGATAGATAGATAGATAGATAGACAGAGAGAGAGAAAGAGATAAAGAGATAGAGAGATAGATAGATAGATAGATAGATAGATAGATAGATAGATAGATAGATAGATAGATAGATAGATAGATAGATAGATAGATAGATAGATAGATAGATAGAGAGAGAGAGAGAGAAAGATAGATAGATAGATAGATAGATAGATAGATAGATAGATAGAGACAGAGAGAGAGAGAGAGAGAGATAGAGAGATAGATAAATAGATAGATAGGTAGATAGAGAGATAGATAGATAGAAAGAGAGAGAGAGAGAGAGAAATAGAAAGAGAAATAGATAGATAAATAAACAGCAGATAGATAGATAGACAGATAGATAGATAGATAGAGAGAGAGATAAATAGATAGATAGAAAGAGAGATAGAGAGATAGATAGATAGATAGATAGATAGATAGATAGATAGATAGATAGATAGGTAGATGGATAAAGAAATATATATATAGATAGATAGATAGATAGATAGATAGATAGATAGATAGATGGATGGATGGATGGATGGATGGATGGATGGATGGATGGTAGATAGATAGATAGATAGATAGATAGATAGATAGATAGATAGATAGATAGATAGATAGGTAGAGAGAGAAAGATAGAGAGATAGAGAGATAGAAAGAATGAGAGATAGAGAGATAGATAGAGAGATAATAGATAGATAGATAAACAAACAGAAGATAGACAGACAGATAGATTGATAGATAGAGAAATAGATAGATAAATAGATAGATAGACAGAGAGATAGATAGATAGATAGATAGGTAGATGGATAGAGACATAGATAGATAGATAGATAGATAAATAGATAGAGAGGTAGATAGATGGATGGACAGATAGAGAGAGAGAGAGATAGAGGGATAGAGAGTTAGATAGATAGAAAGAAAGAGAGATAGAAAGCTAGGTAGATATCTAGATAGAGAGATAGAGATAGATAGATAGGTAGTTAGGTAGATAGATAGGTAGAGAAAGATAGATAGATAGATAGATAGATAGACAGATAAAAAGACAGAGAAGAGACAAAAGAAAGAACAGCACAAAAATTAGCAAACAAAAGAAAGAAAGAAAAGACAGATAGAAAGAAGGAAAGAAGGGAGGAAGGAAGGGAAGAAAGGAAGACTGACGGAGAAAAAAGAAACAATGAAAAGGAAGAAGAAGAGGAAAAGAGTCAAGAAAAGAAAGAGAAAGAGAACTATAGTTTTTATATTTTTGAAACTTCCGCCCACCAGCTTCACCGGCTCTAAGGGGTACTTAGACCGAAGGAGGAGCAAACAATCCCAATTAAGCAGACCTACACTGACGCGCGCACCAAGGTCGAAATCTGAGCTCGTTCCTGCTTGAATGGGGTCTATACCGCTGTCCCCCTTTTGGGAGGTTGACAAAAACATCCGTTGGAAAGGCCAATTTTGATTGAGTCTTATTCTGCTGAGGTGATGCTTAACGTGGACATATGCAGCCACACATATCAGCGAGCGTGAGAAAAACACCATCGCAAGGACACCAACGAAGGCCTGCTTCCAGGCTCCCCCCCCCCCAAAAAAAAAGCAAAACAAACAAGCGAGGAACCTCACGGAGTAACTTTGCCGAAAAGGCGACGAACTTGACAGCTGGGCTGCGGGCTTGGATCGTAGCCACCCTGCCATCGCCTCAGACACCTGGCGACTTGACTCGAAACCCGGGGGATTCCCGCGCGAGAGCGAAACGGAAGAAGCCCCTGCTGGGACGAAGAGAAACAAGCTATGTTTCTGTCCGGGGACAAAAGAAACACATCTTAGGCTAAGGTCGCAGGCAACATGTTGATTAGAGAGAGAAAGACGTCTTGGGCGGTTGCAAGATCCTTATCCCACCAGAGAGACGGAATTTTGACCGAAGCAGATGGGGTGTCTCAAAAAAAGGGATTGGAACCCGACCAATGAGATGGTTCCCTTTCACTTCCCATTGAACATAATCTTGGCTGCGCAAAAGTGACTCTGCCCCATTGCCTTCTGAGCTTTGGTCGTCGTCCTTCGAGATCTACAGGAAAAATCACGCATCGAGTTTGGCAACTGGAAGCTAGAGGAATTTTCACCAAACGGGGAAAGGGGTCGCCCCTCTGCATTGTTTTCACTGCCCCCACAAAGTCACACCTATGGGGAAGAGTGTCTGTCTATTGAAGTACCCCCCTCCTCCCCTCCAAACATGCATTAACAACATCACCACCTCCAAACCTATGTCTTGAGGAAAAGAAGAAGCAACAAAGCAGCACTAAGAATGCCACACATAGCCACCAAGCTTTGTATCTGCCATCACCCCTTCGTCCCCCGCTTAAGGCGGGCTCGAGCGAGGCCTCCACCCGCTGGAAGGCGAAGTCGAGCTCCCTCGGGCGCTCGGCTCAAGCGGACCAGATCTGGGGCTGTGCTTTTGCAGGGTACCTCCGGGAGAAGAAAAAAAAGGGAAACGGAAAGGAACCCACGGACTCTTTTTGTTAAGGGAAACCACAGATTTTGGGGGCTCCGATTGCTATTTTGACACACATCCATGTGTACCCGAATGTGGATGGGCTTCTTCTGGATGGCCTGTGAATCTAGTGAAGTACGACAAACCCGCACGGAGACTGCTTGTACACACGCCAGCCACACACTCTAAAACTAACCTATCCTTAACCACCCACAACCACTCCAAGAGGGAACATTGGTGCGAGGAGGGGGGGGCCTGTCATAGGGATTTGGTGCTCCTTTTGCCAGGGGTCATAGATGGGTTCATACGTTCATGGTCAAAGCTCCTCATGTGGGCCGTAGTCGTGTCTTGGTTTCGAGGTGAATGAGGATGTTTGGTTTGGAGATGAATCCTCATCTAAATCCCTATTGAGGAATCCATGACCATCCCTGCTAGGGACTTTTGACCATGGTGACCATGGCACAGTCGGGTTTGTTGCACGGGCCATGGCAAGCTATGCTCTAAGACTTGCATCTTCCAAGTGGCAAATGTCGAAGGACCTTATCCAGCACGTTGAATTGAACCTAAATATGGTAAAAGAGCGCCAAGTACATCATACACTATGTGACAGCGCCCTTGCTTGGTGCTGTAGTTGCTTCCTTTGGGGTTTCCTTTGGGTGTCGGACTTTGTGAGAACCGTAAGAGCTTGACTCCAACAGGGCAGGACGGATTCTAGGTAGGGTATTGATTGCTGGGCAAAATCGACCTGAGCCGGAGTCGGCGCGAGTCATGCGTGAGCCGTGTTTGACTTATCAGAAAAAACAGGCAAGAACGCGGGTGCTCACAAAACAGTGTGCATGCGAGCTTATTACAACATCTGAAGACATGAAGAAACGTGTCATGTTCCCCCAGCAAAGCATGCTTGGCGTCCCAAAGTCTTGGGGGAGCATGATACCCCGTGGCCTCTCGCAGGCATTCATACACACATGCCACAGCTGGGTGCCAGAAAAGTCCTGGTATCAAATGATGAGCAACAGTACAGGGACCCTCTGATTCCATGACAGTGTAGTGCGAACAACTTATCACAACAACATTATGCAAATGGCAGCAACTCAAATATTCATGTAAAGACCCCTTGGGGTATTCACTGGACAAAAACAACCAATCTGAGGGAAGCCTGTACAAAACCCATACTTTTCCTACTGGTTGGTTACCAAGGGACGGGAAGTGCAGACTCATCTATTCCTGGCCTGTGATTTGGAGGATTGCCATTGATGTAAAACACGGGCAACTGCCAAAGAAGGGGCGGGAGTGGCAACGCCTTGCCCAACTAGAACCAGGAAACATGCTTTTGGTCGACCCCGGATCTGTTTTCATGTGGACCCGCACACCTAAAAGTACGAATAAGGCAATAACTAAACTGGCTCGAGGCCTGCAAGAAAACAGGTGAACCAAATGTCGCCTGCATATCAACCAACCTCGAAAAAAGAACAAACAAAAACTCATGTTCCTTGGAGCAACCCCAACCCCCCAGGGCCCTTCCCCCCGTCTCCAGCCTTTTGGGGGGCGTCCACCGGGAGACTGCCGCGCCCCCGCCAAACGAGTCTTCGAGGCCCCGGCCGCGCCGCGTCCGCCACCTTGGCCGCGGCGCCGGAGATGGTCACGAGGCTGTCGCTGCCTGTCGGCGAACCACGGGTGCGCTTGCGGCAAGGTCGTTTTTGGCATGGTTTTAAAGGAACAACCCGGTAGTAAAATGGTCCACCCAGAACCATGTCAAGAAATTATGAAGGCGGCCGCAGCTATTTATGGTTGGAATTGTCCCTGACTAACCTTCATCTACCCGGGTTTTGATTGTGGCTCACATGGGTGCGCTTGCTGCATCACCAAAAGGAAACTATCATCTTGGAATCGTTTTGACGGAGGGAAATGGGGGTCATCCTTTTGGAGGCCCTTTCAAGTAAAATGGGAGAGTACCTCTTTGGGGCTAGTTTTAAAGGGAAAGCAAACAGGAAACCACCCATTTTGCGTGTCCTCCCATTTGACACGTACAATGTATGCCCATGAGTCACTGGCAATCTTGCCAGGTATCAGCTTTGGGTGTCATGTCATATCGGCTTTAGATGTGAAAGATCGTTGATACTGGAAACTATAGACACATGTGTGTATGTGCGTGTTTTCCCACATGTGATGTATAAACATATATGTATATATGCAGACGTCTGTGCATTTGCAGGTGTATTGTACGTATGTTGCATAAGCTTGTGGTGCACCATCCTTGGCAGCAGCAAACACTCACATGAAAAACTAATGGAAATTGTATGATCTGAACTTCGCCCAACACTGGGGTGCACCAAAGTACTATGTTTTGACTCTGTTTCATGTTTAGTCTATCCGAAAATAAGTTTGGAGGAGACCCCAGCAAAGATGCCCAGCTGAACCTCTGAAGGGTATGAAGAGGGGCCTGATGCGTACTCGCCTTGGTCATGTGTTTTACAAAGACGTCCGTCAGCCGAGAACTCTTTTGGGTGCTTACGGCGAAGCCAAAAAAGGGGGGGTCCATCATATTGAGACAACCCAAAGATGCTTCTCCAACAGCAGCTCGGGAAAGCCTCACCCCAAGTTGACGCAAGCTGTCCTTGAGAGGGTTGCTTGGACAAGCCCGCTTGGTCGTTCTGCAGGGAGTCTTAGGCAGTGCGGGAACAAGCTGAACCCTCCCCTATCAGCTGGCTGATCAGCGGGAGCGGGGAGCACGGGCAGATTCTTCCCCAACCCCTGCGCGAAAAACCCGGCAAGCGGTTGAAGGACCTTGCTGCGGCTTGCTCCAAACACACGAGTCACGAGCGAAATCTGCGGCTCCCGCAATAGCCGCGAGAAAATCCTGGCACCTCCGCCTGGCTTGTCAAACGCCCCCAATGTCCCAAATCCCAAATAAAATTTAGACGACGTCGCGTGCGCTGACCCGACCCCCAACTGCCGCCCGCCCTGGCCCACCCCCTTAAGCGCTGGCCATCATCCGGCGTTTGCACCTTCACCTTGACCTGCGGTTCAGGCGCTTGACGCTTGTGGCTTGCACGTGCGGTTGCCCTCTTTTTAGACAACCCCAAATGTCAGGGGGTTGTATCAGCAAAGGCATCTTGGAAGGAAACCAATGGGTGTGAGATCCCCAGCTGGAAAAAGTGTCGGGTCTGTCCACTCTCAAGGGACTTGTATGCCCACTATCTTCTTCCAACTGCAAAGCAAAGCAAGCTCACCCGCAATTCCGCAAACGCTGCACACCAAAATTAGAGCCTCCACCCATTCCGCAAACACCCGAACATATTTGGCACCTGAAGCAGGGCATTCCCTTTTCCCCGAATGGATGAATAGGGGGGGGTTCCCCAAAAGTGATCCGGATCTCCTCTTAAAGCGGTCCCCAATCAGACCCAACCAGTGTCGAAACAGGGATGCGGACCCGAAAATGGCCCAGCTTGTCCGTGATCCCTTCAAAGCCAGGTGAAAAGGGTACTGATCGAGCCAGGCTTAAAAAACCTACAGCCCCACATCTCCCTTCTCTACTGGGTGGTCTCTCTCAGGGGCCCCTAAAGATGCGTTGCTTCCCCCTAAAGATGCGTGGCTTCCTTGAGTTGCCCCAATGTTGACCCTGGATTAATAACTCCCTGTTAAGAAAATATGAGGCTGTTCCCCTCGAGTGATGCTTCCCCCATACTAACAAGCAGGGGTTTATTTCTCCGGGGTCAACATTACCAAAAGGCAACCCCAGCCACAAACACCCCCATATTAATAATAAACAGGCAACTGATAGACCTTGCATGGCACGCGCCTGCAGCTTCTCTTCTGTGGCCTTGAGGTTCGCGCCCTTCTTGCCCAGGACCAGGCCCAGACCTCACCGGGTGCCCTTATGCCACCATCCACGCCACCGAATGTTTGCGATTTTTTGAAGAGAAGGGTCCCTGACGAGAATGGGGAGGGTACAGTTAGAATTTTGGTACTTTATCTCATGAGGACCCCCAGAAACCGTCAAAACAAAGGTATCCCAAGGTTGAAGGGAACCAATCTCATGTGTTCTCACTTCGAGAGCCCCCAGAATCAGTCGCAACCGTGACCCCAGAAACGTATCCCTACGCTTTTGGAAGGCTGGAACTCCCATTCTCAAAGCGTTCAACTCGAGATGTGGAGAAAGCGAGGGTTGCTCGAAACGGCTTGAAAGGGAATCCTGCAACCGCCAGCGGCAACAGTTTCCTTGGCTGCCTGAGGTGGGGAAGCTTCCAGGAAGCTAAAAAGTGAGTGAGGGTTCCCCAATGTTGGTCAAAATGACTTGTTCAATTCCTACCCGAGTTCTATCCAAACTGGAACACGCATGTTGTTTTCTCCACCTATTCCGCTTACATCAGCAATCTGTGGTTGCCACAATGGACATGGGACACTTTGTCGCGCTCAAATTGGTAAGTCCTACTCGTGTCCCGAACCAATTTGTTGGACTGAACCTCATATTTCAGTTTTGGAGGAGACATGTGTGTTTCTTTTTTTTCACCCCCAACCCATCGTTTGGTCGCCCAGAACCTAAAAGCCAGAAAATGGAAGTCCAACAACCTGGTGAGGTGGAACCACGAACAGGTCCCCGAGTTTGGATCACTGCCCAGGACACATATACTTTTAAACATCACACCAAAGGAAAACTCACCCGTCGCTTTACAACTGAAAGCGGAAATATAGGGACGCCGTTTCCTTTTTTGTGCGGGGGGCTGGCCGTTTTCTGTCGGATCCACCGGATTTGGCTGGGCTTCCGCGCAAGCTTGCGGAACCCGCAGCGTTCGCTCCGGCTGCAGCAGGTCTCGGAAAGCAGGACGCAAAAGCGGGCAGTGGGACTGGTGGAAGGGATGTCTGGCATCTCAAAGGGAACCCCCGAACGAATAGGACGTTGGTGTCGTGTTTTGGCTTCCCTTTCACGAACAGGGGACCCCCTTTACAACCGTGTGTCCATGCGCTAGCAAGCAGCCACAGGAAAATAGAAGGATGATGCGGCCCCCAAGACAAGTACATCAAATACCGACAAGCCTCTTCAACACATGTGAATACTACCTCATCAATCAGCCCGGTAGACCAACATGCAAATGTCCCGCTACTGTCAAATGAAACCAGACGACACAATTCCATTCAGAATGAACCTGACTGACCCTCCAAAAGCAAACGTAGGCGTGTCCTTCTTTGAGGTTACCTTTTGTTGCATGTTTCAAAACGGCGTTAAAAGGTGAACCACCAATTTAGGCCTCTCTCACTTCAAGACACACCCACATGAAAGTACACAGGCCCTTTTCCTAAGAGCAAAGCTGTCTTCCGCAAGAGGTTTGTGCTCTTCCATGCTTGGTGAGAAGGTAGCAAAGGGCATTGGAGGTTCATGAGATATTCTTTCCTCGGGCACGACTGAACATGTCCCGACATGGGAAACCAACGGTGAAGAGGCCCCAGCTTTGGATAAGTGAGACCATTCGGTATGCCGTCAGCCAAAGCGGGGCCCGCACCAAAGGGAGGCGGCTCCAGCCCGCTCGTGAGGCCTAGGCTCCCAAGTTGGGCACTTCTCTCAGCCATGGTGTCCACCGAAAAAAACACGGTGTGTTGAGTGCTGAACAATTCGATGGCCTCATCAACATGTCTAGTTGTGGAACCCTTTTTCCAGTTCCATGGTGATGTTCAAGAAGATCATTCACATGCAGTCGTGTCATTCACCGTACTCAGGAGCAACAATACATGACATGCATAAGTTGCAAACAGCAAAGGCTCGCAGCTTGGGCCGTGAATACAGTAAGCAGGCGGCTTCAGGAGCTTTCAGGAATATCGAATGTTGCTGCAGTACACAACAAGCTTGGTACAAATGATCCTGTGACACACTCATGATGAGGTGCTCAGCCGGACGAAAGGATCACATATCAGAATCTGGACGCGCTTACAGAAGCGTGGCTAAATGCAAAAGAGAACGAGGGCAAGAGAGACCATCGAAGGGGAAACCAACAAATAGAGAATCCATCTTCCCGTCATTACCTTCAAAACTCTAAGGGAAATACAACAAAAACACCCACACACAAACACACACATGCGTTCATCTCGGCCAAAAAAAGAAGGAAACAAACGGGATGCAGGGCTCACGGCCAACCTTCCGGGTCTGCAGGTCTGACGTGATTTCAAGCGCTTCGCGAGGTGAGAAGATGACTCGACTAAGATTTCCTCGGTATCACAAGAGTGGGCGGGCGAGGTGGGAGGCGGGCGGGGTGGCCCCCATTTCCCGATTTACCAGTGAGAGCAGCGGCTTGAAGTGCAACCATTTCCACAAAGCTTGTGTTTGGTTGCGCTCTCCCAGCGGACGTTTTTCCAGTTGCTTTGTCCAGCTGCCTCCCAATTGCTTTTCCAGCAGTTGCTTCCTAACCTGGGACCCCTTTTGTGAACAAAGCCTCGAGGGAAAAAGACACACTTCCAAGGAACGCTCACACTGGAGGAAACCAACGGGAACTGAAACCCATCATTTTCCGGGAGAACCCCATACTCGCCCCAAAATTTGGGCTATGTGGCTCTCACGCCGAGTGTCTGGACACGAAGCTTTCCTTCTCCTTTGCTTCCACCTCGCGCCTCAGGGATGCATATATCTATACATACATATGTCATATGCAATAACCAGACATGCTGCATGATGTCTATGCATACCTGAAAACACATATACATGTGTATACGGATATCAAAAAATACATGTATCTGTATGTGTATATATATATACATATATATATATATGTATGTACACAAAAGAAGGCTAGGTATGTGCAAATGGTTCGTGTCACGTGTTCTATATACATTCACCTGCAAAGGACTCCTGCAAAAATGCCGTGTACGCGCCATATATACGAGGCAAAGTTGCACACCTACGAATGTACGTTGCCCAGTGACCTGAATTGCTGAACTGCGGTGATGCCAATAGTCTAAAGCTTCTCATGCGCGAGGAGTTCATATGGGCACCATCATGAACAAAGTACAACAACCGCACTCCTAGACATTGCATGCAAATATATTATGCATAAGTAAAAAGAAAACAACCTGCGTTCATCTGCTCATTCTCATACAGTGAGTGGGAGCACAGCTGCCATCCGAGGAGACACTGCTCTGACCATCAATGGTTCGCGAATAGGTGATGTATCGACACACGCTGTCAGCCCTAATCTGCGCTAACCTCGCGCCGAAGTGTTGCCTTTGACATCAAACACTGCGTGGACCCAACGTACGATGTTCCTGCAACTTGAAAAAACGGACAGCTGTTCCCTGCACTTGTTCATCCAAAGCCCGGACTTGGCGACCAGGGGCCCGTTGGGGCGGAAAAATCCATCACCTCCAGCCACAATTCCGATTTCATCCAGGTTTCGTCTCTTATAGGCTTAAAACCTCAAAATAATCATTGGAGCATGAAGCCTGAAGCGTTTCATCCACTCCGGGGCACAAACAAAGAGCCCATAAAACACGCCTAAGGTACCATCAAATAAATATCACACTACCAGTCATGCCCGTTTCCTTTTAAAACCACGCAAAAGGTGCGTGTCAAAATTGTGGACCGGTCTTCCTTTTGGTCTTCCCCTTTACACTAACATTAGGATTCCCTCCCAAAAGCACACGCCCCTATCACCAACGAAGCATAAATTGGGAGGTCCAAACCAGGCACCTGATGTGTGCTGCTTCCCTCGGTTTCCCTTCAACCCAACAAGGGGGCCGCATCGAAATCCGCGTTGAGAAACCTCCAACTGGATGATTCACCATAGGTGTCCTTTTAGAGAAAATAGATGGCCCTACGGTTAAACCACCAGGTAAACCAGGAATCGCCTACTATTTTTTGACCAAAATCACCAAAAAGGACACCATTATGTGATCCACGGTATCGCCGCTTCCAGCAGCTTGGGGCGAGCTTGGGCGCGCGGGCTCCTGGCGGCGCTGCTGCCGCGCAGAGCGCCGGGACTCCTTCACCTGCCAGCCTAAAGCGCCGGTTCCGGGGGGGGGGGGGGAGGGGGAGGGAGGGAGAGGGGGGGGGAGAGGGGGAGAGGGGGGGGGAGAGGGGGAGGGGCGTACCCCCAGTGAACATCCCAATCCCCACTAAAGTGGACTAAAATGGGTGGTGCATCTAAAATGGTACCATTGGTTCTGACCCACAGCCACTTAGGGTCTGAAGCAACGTGGCTTGGTCTGAAAAGCAAGGTAAAGGGGAAAAAAGTGCATGGCGGAAAAAGCAGCGGGCTGTGTGAATTGTTGCGGGGAAATGTGCAAACAAGATGTCCAGCGTCTTTGGGTGTTTCTTTTAATAGACTTTCTTTTGTTCTTAATCCCATTATTTGTTATTTACGTATTTATTTCCCAGGCCGTGATTTGCTTGGTTTTATTATTAGTAGACTTGGAATGTTGGGCACCTCTCTAAACCGCTCTGAGAGTAAATCCATTCCAACCCCGTTCGGCCCCGTTGTGGGAAACCCAAAGAAGGCTGTTCCGACCAGTTTTCAAACCGAGAGTTGGCCCTGGGTATGCCCTGGCTCTGGAAACTCGTGGGAGGGCTGGGAATGATGATTGCGGGAGGGGGGGCTCCCATCAGCAGATTGATCCGAGATGAGTTGGACTTGGTATTAGCGGCGGCTTTTCGGTGTCCTGTGGGTTCAACCCATGCTGAGCCCAACTGAGGCGCTGCCGGAAAACATGATCCCTTTTTGCTTCAAGAGCGGATCCCTTTTTTGAGATTCACCAAGTGAAACAAACGGGACAAGTGGGAACCAAGCCGTGGGAAAAACGAAAAGACGACAGCCGTTGTTTCAAGGGTGGAGCCCACTCCTTTGGAAAATGGGATATCCCTCTCAACATGAAAGCTGTCTGCGGGTTTTGTGAAAAGAGGAAAATGTTGCGCTCCAGCCGGCCAGCTTTCAGGTAGTGTAACTGGGTAAGACCGAGCATTTCCCCGATTTTTCCGTGAGATCCCCGGATTGAATCGGACCTGTTGCGAGTCCAATGTTTCTTCCCCATGGGAATGTCGTGAGTCGGAAAACCCGCAATTGCGTCGAGTGCCGGGCTCATGGCCAAAGCGCCATGGCGCGGCCAAAAGCAGCGAGTTGGGATGCGCTCCCACGTGAACCGTTCGGTAAGGTGCCCCGGGTAAGGGAACCCGTTTTGGGGTCGAAAGCCCATTTTTAGGGAAGCCTTGGAGTTGAAAGCCACAAAGGGTGCTGAACTGATGCAAATGGGAGGGAGGGACCGCCTCTGTTTGTTTCCCACCAACCGACCTGTTGCTTGCAGCTAATGCATGAGAGGTGAAAAGGGAGGCTAATGAACAAGATTGATGGACCACGGCACGCCTGTGTGGCCATGTGCTCATTGGAAGCGCAAAGACCGCGTATCAGGCCAAGTATGTTTTGAGCAGTGCGGTTCCTTGCCGCGATAAACAAGCTAGGCAGCAGCCCAAAGCCACCAGTCATCCTTCATGAGTCTTGACCAGGGGGGTTCCTGGCTCGGAACTCTCTCTGGGGTTCTTGCAAATGAAACGATCCAGCGCATCATGACCATCATTGTAGTCTTCTCCTGACCCGAAAAGGGCCTTCGGTCCAAGCCGGCGATGGCAATCCGTCAACGTGGATGGGACCCCTCCTGGCAAAATGTGGAACACGAGCACAACACCAGCTCGTTTTGTCCAGGGACGAGGGGAGCTGTCGTTCGTGGAGAACATGTTTGTTTGCCTTCCTTCAAACAACATCCACGAAGTCCGGCACACACACACACACAGGACCTTAATCGTGGATGGAATCTTTTGTTTTGCCCCTGCGGAAAGGTACAGTGTCCTTTCGCTCGGATTCCTCGCACATGGCAAACTCGACGTGAGTGAGGCAATTAACTTTCTTGCTCCCGCACGGGATCGCCCCCCCCGCCCCCCGACAGGGAAGAAAGAAAGAACAGAGCTCTATTCGTTAGACTTTAAACCAATTCCAAAAAGTGAGGAAGGTGGATTACTGGGGTAAGGAAAACTAGGTTCCTACTCATGTCCAGTCTAAAACATGGAGGCGTCAGCCTTGTCGACCTGCCTGCTCAGGCATGATACACTGATAACCAGTCCAATCCCATCTGCAAGCCAAACAACGCATTGGGAACTTGCTTGCACAGTCCCACCCTTTGGCAGCAAGACATGCCCAATTGGTGGCGAAACAAGCACGTTACCCATCTGGAGTCCTAGGCTCCTTCAGACACACACCAACATGCTCCCTGCGGCACAGGAGCGGCTCTCTGGCGTATAGTTTCCTGAAATCATGGTTTGTGGAGGACGACGATCGCAAAGCCACTTCTAGTGGGCACACACACACACAGACAGACACATACACAGACACACAAAGACGCAAAGACGCAAAGACGCAAACTAATGGCATTTACCACCGACCAAAAAGTGAGTTCCGCGATTTGACGAAGCCCTCACCTGCAGATCTCCGTTGCCCAATGACGCGTTCTGGTGAACAGGGATCCCACCTGAACATTGCCTTGTAAATGGTGGTTTCCCTTCATTTTGGTGGAAAAAGCCATGTTTCAAATAGGCAAAATGTACCTTTTAAGGAGCCCGGCGGTTTTGCGGGTCGATCCATCCGCTTGCTTTTCTCCTCGCAGCTCTTCTGCAGAGGCGTTGAGCGAGCGCGGCGCCACGGTGCAATGATCACACTGACGATGCCACCTGAAAGATGATTTTTCTTAGGGGTGGAACCATTTCCCTGGCAACATGGTGAAACCACTATTGTTATGAATGCCTCCCCCTACCCCCCTCCCCCCCCGTAAGGTAGCTGGGTCCTATACCCTAGGGTGGCTCAAGGGGGCTCCATAATAGTGTTTTCGCCCACCTCATTTTCCCGTTTCCAACTTACAGGACCAGGGCCTTGCCCCTCTGGGCAAAAAGGGGGGCTCCGAAGGCCAGCTACGTGTGACCCATTTGCAGATTGCCGGGACCATGAACGTGACACCCTCACGAAAACCATGTTTTATCTGCTGAACGTGAAATCTGCTCAAGGTCTTTGCGAAGACGTGTTTGGAAAAGCACGCAAGCAGAGACCGCTAAGAATCCTCATCCCACATCTTTCCCCAAACACCTTCCCTACCCTCGCAAATCTCCAGCCAGTCTTCGTCCCACAAACACTTCCGCACCAACATACTCGACCCATCCCTTGGGTCCGGACAGGTTGGATACATTCACAAACCTGAAATCATAAATGGACCCCCAAGGGACACTTCCGCTCTTTGCCCAAATCTGGCCTGGCAAGGAACCGGCATCCACCTAGCCGTAAACGATATCTGCTTACCTTCTTTTTTTGGGGGGTAGCTGGAATGGCTGGCCCACAAGCGATCATGTCCAGAGCTTCAACTGGCCAGTCAAAGACAAGGTCACAAAGAAGCCGTGGGTTTGTTCGGTTCACGCGTTGGATTGATGCTGAGCTTTAGGAAGGCAGAAAGACACCTCGCTCAAAGGACTTTCTTGAATGGATCAATGGCCTGCAAGGATCATCCAGCAGCTCCCTGCACGTGGCCAGGGAGACCTTTTCAGGGGTTGGCCATGAGTGGAGCCCGAAAACAGAAAGGACGAAGCACTGAACGGCCGAGGATTCGAGGAAATCCAGTTCTTGCCACAGGGTTAGAGGATGGCTTCGCCGTGCCTCTCTGACGGAAGCACCGCTGGTGAGACCGTTGGCTCGCCTCTGCTGGCTCTCTTTGGAGCAGCTTCTAGTTGCAAGTAGCCGTTGCCACAAAAATGTCGAGCGGCCACGTAGACCATCAAACACGCGGATCTGCAGGCATCTTGTGCTTTCACCTCGTTCGTCCGAGCACCCCTGAACATGACCAAAACATGATGCCAGAGCTCATTTGAAAAAAACCGTGCCAAGGGTCAACTGCAATGCTCGATCCTTCCATCTATGGCAACATGGCGCAAACGAACCGCCTTCCAACCCAAGCAGCAGGATTCCTCCGGCTTTGCGCTCAGGAGAGGTTGTTCATGAGCCGCTTTGCCTGACCAGTGAGCAACCCCAGAACCCTGGGATGTACTCGACCATCAACGGACCGGGATCCCCTTCGCAAGGTCAGCCTCTGAGCAGCTCAGTACAACAGTACTTCATATCCTCTCATCTTGTTTACAACCCACAGTTCGGCTCTTTCTGGATGGATTCTGCACAAGTGTGCGTGCCGCTGCGAGTGTGCACCCCGCTCACAAAAAAAATATGTTGTGCAAGCTTCAGTCAATCCGTATCCGGAGAACCGTTTTCGTCAAAGGAATCCACGTCAAACAAAAGCTTCCTCCATCGAAAGCGAGCTCCCACCCTTGCTACGTATGGGCCTTTGAATTCCGACATCGACATCTTTATTGGACTGTTCTCCAAAACATGGGATATCCTGAAAACCTTTCTGACCTGCAGGGGTCATTGGGCCTGCACATCAATCCGACGCTGATACTGTGCCTTGGGTTCCACTGGGGCCTTGGAATCAACGGGATGCTTTTGCCTTGCGCGAAGCCAGCCGCACTTCAGCCAAGGAGCGTGCTGCTCAAAATAGGGAGCCCTTTTTGGATGGTTTTAAAGGGAAACCAAACGGAACCCGCCGACCTTTGAAAAAACGATATGGCCCCGTTGCAAACTGCGGCTCAGCTCTTTGGGTTCTTTCCACGACCAGCGATACGAAGACCACGCGCATTCCGCGACACGAAAAGCCAGGGGTTGGCTCCAAGCTTTGGGCAGTCGCGGCACAAGAATAACTTATCATGCTAGAATGGTTGCTTCATGTGACAGGGGGAAGACCAGCACAAAAAGAACTCTGGGTGTTGAAACAGACTTGAAACAACGACTAAGAAATATAAATTGCATGGACAAGTGCCGCCATCTGATTTCTAATGTTCAACTTCCTTTCTTCGCAGTGCATGTCCACTTTCCTTTGATTCCTTCGTGTCTGTGTCAAAGGCCTAAAAAGTCAACGGCTAAGCCTCTGGGGCCTTGGCCGAACGCCCGGGCACGCGATCCGTTTCGGACAGGTGAAAGATGGGATTCAACCAACAAACCCGAAAACTCAGAAGGAAGCAAGATCGGCTAGCCAGATTCCGCAGGTGCATGACTAGATCAAACGCTTTGGCCTTGCTTAGCGATAAGATTCGCTCCAAGCTTGTCCAGAAAGATTGCTGGATCACCTCCACAGCGAGCCATGAAGGGAATCAACTATGGTGAACAGTTGTTTCAGGAGCCGCTGGTAGAGGCCGTCAGTCGAGCAGGAGCCAAAAAGGCCGTGTGCACAACAAGGTGCCGAGCGTCAAGTTCCACAACTGCCACATCTACGGAGTTACGCCGTCTTTAGCACCCTTCGCCTACCCCGCCACGAAACACCCCAACCCCAACTCCCCCAACTCACCTAATATCCCCCAACTCCCCAAAATCCCCACCCCCCTCCCGCCCCTTCCACGCCCCAAAAAAAAGGAAGCACACACCAGCCCCACAAAAGAGACACCCAGACACACACCGCCCCCAGCCCTTGTTGCCCGCCTGGCGCTGGACCATAGGCAGGGGCGAGCTCATGAACCGCAGCAGCTGGCGCCCGCAGACGTGGAAGATCATGGCCTCGTGCGTTCCGACGGCGTGGATCGAAGGGGATGGGTTTAGGTCGGGAGAAGGGGATGGGTATGGGTCAAAATAAACCCACCAGGGGACCGCAGGTTTTAGTCTTTGGTTCCATTTATCAGGGTTCCATTTTGGGTACGCATTTGTGACCCACAGCCGCATGGCCTTGTTGGAAGCCAGAGTTTCCCTGTATTTGATGTTTGAAGGGGATGTATAAGTCGTGCAACAGGCTCCAAGACACGGGTTCCGATCGCTTGCGCCAGAGGAAAAAAATCATGTCGAAGCATCCGAAAGGATTTGTCAGACACGACCCCTTCAGAAAATTGAGCCAAATTATTGGGTCCCAGTCCAGTCCAATATTCCATGCTTTGGTTGCGGAATCCAACGGATATCGAAGTCAGAAGAGGTCACCTCCCGTTGTCCTTGTTCAGGGGGATGACTTTGCTGCTAAAAAAATGGGGCCAGAATTCGCAAAGCACACTCTTTGTTGTTCATTTCCTTTCAGAAGCCTTCCACAACCAGAGAATCAGCCTCACTTTTCGCAACCCCCAACAAAAAAACGACAACCTCTGTGACCCCCCCTCCTCCCCCCCCGGTTTTCAGGCCGCATTTCCGCGACCTCCGCTTTCCGGGAGGCCAAGGGCTCGCACCGCGCGGCGCGGCGCGCACCGCGGCGCGCACCGCGCGCTGGGGATCCACACCCGCTGGGAGGCCAAGGACGCCAAGCTGCCCAGGGCGCGAAGGCCTCGGATCGGTTTCGGGGGTTCGGGGCGGTTTGGGGTTTAGGTTTGGGTTTAGGAGTGCAGGGGGGTTTAGGGGTGAGGGGGGGGGGGGGGTTGGGGGGTTGGGTTTTGGGGATGTAGAACGGGGCAAGATGAACTCAAGTAACTTGAGTTGCAAGCCACATCACCCATTTCGACCGGAAGGCTGAGACGATCCTCACATCCACGCCGGGGAAGCCCTGAAAACGTCTAAATGACCGTAAGAAGGCCCGAATGGCACGGGTTACCAAGGGGTCCCCCAAAGTGTCCCAAGCTTGTCTTGTACAAGGAGCGTAGCTTTGGGATGCAACTTGCACTTGGAAGCAAACTTGGGTGGCGCTCTGTTTTGAGAGGGTCGATCAATTGCGCCCCAACGTCCTAGTTCTTGTTTCCGCCCACTTCAGCTGGCGTGCATCATCTTGGC